GATGTATTTTAAATATTTACACTGCCGCACGATGTTTTTTTTATTGGGAATTAGTCCTTCAGAGGGGACTTTAAGCCCGCGGTCCGTTCCTACCCCTAACCCGCACAAGCCATTCAGTTGGCTTATGGGACTTCTTACGAAGTAAGGGTGGAACTAAAAGACCACTTTTGTATATAAACTGTATTTTTTTTGCACAAATTGTTTAAGCATGGGTCTACATAGATTTCGCAAGGAGGGTCGATGATAAAAAATGTATTGTTATAACCGTAAAGGCGCCATTCAGCTTATAGGCAAGCCGTTACGGTTATAACAATAATTTTTTTATTTAATATCATCGATCCTCCTTGCGAAATCTATGTAGACCCATGCTTAAACAATTTGTGCAAAAAAATACAGTTAAAAAACTATATCGTGCGGCAGTGTAAATATTTAAAATACATCATTGACTACTCAAACATAATTTTACATTTTAAATTATCATTTTGTATTCGTTTACTCGCATCCACTAGGTATAAACACATACGGCAGTGTAGTAGCTATTCGATGGCTAGACCGTGCGGCATTCAAATATGAAAAACTTCCCTTCTACATGTCGGGCCCACTCTAATTTTTTTTTTTATTCAAAGGTAACATAATAAACTTGGATTTTATGCTATTTTAAAAAAAATTAAAAAATACACATTGTTTCAAAAAATGCAAAATTGTGCAAAATTTCAAAAAAAAATTGCAATTTTTATTTTTTTGCAAAAACGGTATAGCCCATTGAAAAGTACGGAAAAAATCATTTAAGGAGGTTAAATTAAAATATTTAATAAAGAGATGAACAGAAGTTATGAATTTTTAAATAAAAAGCGATTTCACCAAAAAGTAAAAAATCGATAAATTTCAATAATCAATAACTCTTGAATGAACAATCCTAGAGCAAAAAAAATTGATGCTATGATTCTTCGTTATAAGAACAACAAATAAGTAAAGTTTAAACAAAATCGGTGACAAAAATTTTTTCACCTGGTACACTTGGCAAATTTTGCCCCATATACGAGTTTTAAAAAAATAATTTTAAAGATTTTTCTATCTTATCTAAATCAATTTCTGTAAAACATGGATGACTTTTTCTTTATTTATTTATGTCTGTTTCTATGTACATTTACATGAAATAAAATTTATTATTATTATTATACAAATATTTAATTATTATTATAATAATAATATACCATAATGTGCCTAGTTCAAAATTTATAGACCGATTGACAACATAATGAAAGATAGATTTGTTTGCGATTTTCATTTAATAATAATAATTGTTATTATTATATTAATAAACAGAGTAAAACTCTATTAAAAGGAAAAAATTGTAAGTATTTACTTAAACTAAAATTAAATCTTAAACTAAAATTAAAACTTAAAGTATGTTTTGGCCACCCTAATCATATAATCTAGGTTACTACAAAATAAATCACATTCTTGATATAAGTACTGGTGATTTTACCAAGCTTATTGATCTCGCACTGTCACAGTAAAAATAATCACCTTTCCTACAGTACATAAATTTTAAATAGACACAATACATTGCCCGTCAATTTGATTGCTGAAAATCCTAAACAGATACTTAGGCACAAAACATAAAAAATAATTTAAAAATTTGTTTTATATCTATTTTTTTACATGACTTTTAAATAAATAGAAAATGGTAAATTTGGAAAATCATACAAACGTATCTCTTTTATTTTTGGAGTTTTATTGGCGGTATTAATATTCATATTCATATACTATATTCACACTTTTAAACAGTTTTTAGAAGTAAAATGGGGGTAAAAAGTTTTTTCTTCATGTACCTAACGGATGTTACATAAAAAACACATAATTGAATTCGTTGTAATTACTTGAGACGAAAATTAGGGCAGTGGTTGATTATTGCTTTCGAGTGTATTTGTTAAAACAAATCAATTAAAATTAGGTCATTTGAAACAGCCGCCATGCTCTATATTTGCAGTGTCTTGTCACTTTTCTCTTATCGCTGGCCTAAAATGAAATGCCTATTCAGTATTATGTTTTCTTTATATCGTTCGTGGTTCGCCATTAATGCTTTCTTTATGAAAAAATTAATTTTGTAGGTTTATGCAATTTTTAAATAAAGAAGTTCATTTTGATTAAGTTTACAATTAATACTAGATATATCCTTCTATCATAGGAGGCTTTAGGGAAGGATATTTTAAATATAAAAAAATTACAAAAATCTTATTTGAGTTAATAAACATTTAGATTTAAAGTTTTTAAGGCATTATATCACAAATAATCTGAATTAGAAGTTTCTGGGGAACGGAAAAAGATATCTATTTGAAATTTTAAAAGCGTTTATAATTCATTTAAGTCTATTTTTCTAAAATATTTTAAACAAAATGCCATTTTCGGGTTAACCGGAAGTGATATAAAAAAAACCCATATATTTTTACATTTTTAAATTATACATAAAATTCTGAGCAAAATTTCTATACCATGTGCTATACCTAAAGTACCGAGTTATTAATTTTTTTCGTTAAATTTTACAAATGCGCGACAATCAAAAATAGGGTGTAGAATTTTTGAAATCTTTTGTCAATTCTTTAACATACCTATCTCAACAAATTACTTGAGAAAAAACAATGCCAAATTAGGCTTGAAATTAAATAATTTCAGAAATATGTAAGCAACGTCTAATCTTCTACATTAAGAATTAAAAAATGCTTGAATTTAAATAAAGAACAATTTGATCATTTAGTAATAAAAATTGTTAATTAAAATATTGTTGGTTTATTAAATTGTTACAGTTATGCATTCTTTTTGTTATTAAAATATTTCATAAAATATATTTTATATTTTACTGTCTCCAATACAGTTTTAAAATGTCGGTAAAAAACTTTATTTTACCTGGAAAACTATTTACTTTAGGTATATATACCATGTACAATGTATATTCCGTAAATCATGGCACCTATCATAATTTAAGCAAAACTTTAAATTCTTAATTTTGTGTTTAAAAATGAACTTGAAAATATGAGATTTAATTTAATGTCACCATATATACAGGGTGTCCCGAAAATGGAGCTTATACCTCGCGGGGGGGGGGTTATTTCAGTGGTCTAATGTCAAACACAACAAACTTCAATATTTTTTATTAGCAAATTCCATCCTATTTATCAAAATTTTTGTGAAAATAACGGTTCAGTTAAAATGATTGAGTAATAATATGATCCCTTCATATTATTGCCCATAATAATAAAAACATCTCTTTTTTTCAAGAAAATGATTTAATGGCGTATTTTTTAGTTACTGAAAATGTTATTCAAATTGAGTTTGCTGGGTTTTATATTCAAAATTACATTTTTTTCCATCGCGGCGGGTAGTTTTTGTATTTTAAATTTTGATAGTATTTATTAATCTAAAAAAAGAAAACAATTTTAAGGATGTTTTAAAAATAAAAAGCTTAAATTTGTTAATAACCGAGTTAATAACATCAAATTAATTCATCTAAATTTTAGATCGCCGCAGATGCGTTGTTTAGATGTATGATAAACATAACGGCTTAGGAAACACAGCGTTGCCGAGTTTTTCATCTTAAATGTTTACTTAAAATACCCCCTCCCTTTGAGCCATTTTTAGGTTTTTTACACTTATACACAATATTTTAAATTTTAAATATAGGTAAATAATATATTATCTTTAACTTTAATTTAAACATAATAATCCCTGCGCATTCGCCATTATTGATGTTTTTTCCCAAAATTTATAGGAATTTGAAACAGGCGGCAGAAAAGTTTATTTTTTAGACATGTTATTACATTTGAATAGAAATAGAAACTATTTATAATATTATAATAAAAAAATCAAAAATAAATCATAATTTTAGGGGGCAAGTGGATGAGGGGATTAAAAATATATTATTAGGAAAGGACAAAAAATAAGTATTGTAATTGCATTACCAAGTTTATCTTTGTTTACAATTACAATTTTTTTTGGAGGTTTCATGTTACATTTTAATTTAAAAAAAAGATATTGGGATTGTAAGTATTTATTTTTTTGTAATTACAATATCTTTTGTCCTTTATTATTCAAAATGTTACTTAACCACTTTATCCACTTGCACCTTCAATTGTGATATTATATTTTATTTTAATTATTGATGAAAAATAAATTTTTCTATGAAAGAAAGAATAATTTGAAGAAGGAAGATATTGTATTTTGTAAATTTTGGTGTTAGGATCCAGATTACGGCAGCTTATATTTGCAAGGAATTGATATATAAAATAACCTAAATTAATATATTAATTGAAGATTTCAAAAGATAGGGTCAAGGAAATATCATAGGACTTTCAAAATCCATCGTATTTCCAAAATTATTAATTGTTTCGACCTTTACTCGATGAAACATCGAAATTTCGTGAAACTTTACAACAAAGTTGTTTTTATATCCACATAATTTCCAAAATTGTGTAAGTTTAATTAATGCCCTCAGGTTTATACCACACGTATTTTTTTAAATACCTGCATTAGCTAATATCAATACCGCCACTTATGAAAAAGTTGTACTTATTCTGAAGAAGCTACCTTGTGGCGAAACAATTGTTAATTTTAAAAAAATAGGAAAACTTTAAACCAGTGTTGTTTTTATTTACAAAATAATAGAAAATTATTATAAAAAATAATAAAAAATTTAGCTTAACAGGGCAGTATTGGATATTATCGTTTTAAAAAATAAAATACTCAATTTACGAATGAAGAATATGGTGATATTATTTATGCCTGTATTCAAGCTAACGGCGACACACAAATTAATTAATTAATACATACCTACTAGGCATTTTATGACTTTTTTGTTTAAGTTACACTCGTACTTTGTTTTTTTATAATACTATTAAAATTTCGGAAATTTCATTTCAAAAGTTTCCAAATAATTTATTTTTTTAATAAAGCCCTATGAAGGGCTCAAAAAATCAATTTATTTAATTTTATTTTAATTTTAGATTCCACCCTTTCCAAGAACTCAACAACACAGAGAAACTTCGTTTAACGTCGCACCTCAATACTACAGTGATCTACTCGACCAACACTATCAACCATACGAATATCACAGATCTTCGTCGTTGGAAACGTGCTCGTGTAGTTCGGACAGCGACTCGACCAAGGGAACCTTCAGAGGGCCGTGGTGCGTGTGTCTCGTGATATGCGCGGTAATTGCTACACTCACTGCAGGACTAGGTAAGAGGAACTTGTATTAATTAATAAAGGTTTAAAATTAAATTATATTTAAAATTATATTTGAAATGACGACCTCAAACTCGTTATCAGCGATCCAGAAAAGCGCTGTATACTACCCGGTCAACATTTAACGTAACACAGTATTGCCGTTATGTAACATAGGAGTAACATTGCAATGTAACGATGTTACTAAAATGCAACGCAACAGTTACCTAAAATAATGGTAACATTCTTACCGTTCCAAGTTTACCAATATGCAATATAACAATAACGTAACATTGCGATACTATTGTAATGTAATAAAATTACCAATAAGCAATGTAACAACAATGTTACATTGTGAAACTATTGTAATATAACAAAATTACCAATAAGCAATATAACAATAACGTAACATTTCGACACTATTGTAATGTAACAAAAGCAATATAACAGCAATGTTACATTGTGAAACTATTGTAATATAACAAAATTACCAATATGCAATATAACAGTAACGTAACATTGTGAAACTATTGTAATATAACAAAATTACCAATATGAAATTTAACAGTAACGTAACAATGTGAAACTATTGTAATGTAACAAAATTACCAATAAGCAATATAACAGCAACGTAACATTTTGAAACTATTGTAATGTAACAAAATTACCTATAAGCAATATAACAGCAACGTAACATTGTGAAACTATTGTAATGTAACAAAATTACCTATAAGCAATATAATAGCAACGTAACATTGTGAAACTATTGTAATATAACAAAATTACCAATATGCAATATAACAGCAACGTAACATTGTGAAACTATTGTAATATAACAAAATTACCAATATGCAATATAACAGTTACATAACATTGCAATACTATTGTAATAAGTTTGTTAAGTAACAGTTACATTTGTGTTACGTAACAAACTTATACTTATACACATCATTTACATCTCGCTCGTGTTACCACCTCGATTAGGTATGCCTGATTATGGAAAAGTCAGAATACGATATTATGTATCATTTGATAAGCTTTAGCGTTCAACTGACGGGGCTTTCTCATGTCGAGCATAATAACTTTGCAACGTAACAATGTTACATAACCGTAAAGGCCATGTTATGTAACATAACTTTGATTGCGAAAATGTAACGGCAACGTAACATTGTTACCTATTTGCAACCATTAGGTTATGCAACTGTAATGTTACATATTACGATTGTTGTATAACATTTTCGTTAATGTTACGTTACAGTTATGTTTCACTTTCATAACGGCAATGTAACATTGTAGTCCATTAAAAAGATACATAACAACATAACAATTATAATGCATTTATGTAACGACAACGTAACATTGTTATGTAACAATGTTACTTAAAAATGCGGGAAATAGGAACCTATTTGCAACCGTCAGGTTATGTAACGATCCTGGCATAACATTTTGGTTAATTTTACGTTACAGTTATGTTTCACTTTCATAACGGCAATGTAACATTGTTATGTAACAATGTTACTTCAATGAGTGGGAAATAGTAATCTATTTACAACCGTCAGGTTGTAATGTTGCATATTACGATCGTTGCAAAACATTTTGGTTAATGTTACGTTACCGTTATGTTCCACTTCCATAAGGGCAATGTAACATTGTTATGTAACAATGTTAATTCAATGAGTGGGAAGTAGGAACCTATTTGCAACCGTCAGGTTATGTAACTGTAATGTTACACATTACAATCGTTACATAACATTTTGGTTAATGTTACGTTACAGTTATGTTTAATTTTCATAACGGCAATGTAACATTGTTATGTAACAATGTTACTCCTATGAGTGGGAAATAGGAACCTATTTGCAACCATTAGGTTATGTAACTATAATGTTACACATCACAATCGTTACATAACATTTTGGTTAATGTTACGTTACAATGTTGACCGGGTAATTTTAGTCAAAAAAGAAGGGTTTGGTCCCAATGTTAAACAAAATACTCGTCGAGATAGCCATCATCCCGATTGAAATGAAATATAATATAATGCAAACCTTATTAGTAATTTCTCGATGATTTTTAGGTCTTCCATTGATATTAAGCCCCGAACTGCCCCCTCAAACTCAAGAAGACAGATTATATGTAATACGGCGATTGTTAAAAGAAACACCTTTGATTGACGGTCATAACGATTTACCTTGGAACTTGAGGAAATTTGTACACAACAAAATTTTAAATCTTAATTTTAGTACGCTAAGTAATGCAGAACCTTGGTCCAGAAGTATTTGGTCCCACACGGATATCACTCGTCTTAAACAGGGATTATTAGGTAAATATAATCTTAACAGCGACTAGATTATAGTAAACACATTTTTCTTGTTTTAGGGGCCCAATTTTGGTCAGCCTACGTGCCTTGCAAAGCCCAGCACTTAGACGCAGTCCAAATCACCTTAGAACAAATAGATGTGATAAAAAGACTAGTAGACTATAACTCGCAACACTTTCATCTCGTCAAAAGCGTAAAAGAAATTCTTAAAACCCACAAAGATGGCAGAATAGCGTCTCTCATAGGAGTCGAAGGAGGCCACGCTTTGGGTAACTCATTGGCAGTACTGAGGACATTTTACAACTTGGGGGCACGATATTTGACCATTACGCATTCGTGTGATACTCCGTGGGCTTTTGGAACGGATTCCCAAAACGATGAAGGCTTGAGCGTTTTTGGAAAAAAAGTGATTAAAGAAATGAATCGATTGGGTATGATTATAGATTTGTCACATACTTCTGTAAATACTGCCAAGTCTGCTATCAATACTTCACATGCGCCGGTTATTTTTTCTCATTCTGGAGCATTTTCGTTATGTAACTCAAGCAGAAATGTCCCTGATGATGTGTTAAAGTTAATTGCACAAAACGGCGGGGTGGTCATGGTTAATTTTTTTAATATACACGTTACATGCAATGAATCGGCCAGCATGAAAGATGTAATACGTCATATTAACCACATAAGGAAAATAGCTGGTATAGAACACATAGGTATAGGAGCTGGGTATGATGGTATAAACATGACACCCTCAGGTTTGGAAGACGTTTCAAAATACCCTTATCTTCTAGCCGAACTTCTCTCAGACCCTTCTTGGACAGAAAAAGATATCCTTTCGTTGGCAGGATTAAACTTGATTAGGGTTTTTGAAAAGGTGGAAGAAATCCGCGATAAATGGAAGTTGGCTGAAATTCTACCTGGAGAGGATTCGGCGCCACCTTTCTATAGTCAGTGTTCTTCTTTGTATTCTTGACATGATTTAAATAATTCGGTGCACTGCCAGTGGGAAAACGTTTTATGCAGTTTTGTTAGCTTTAAATTGATTGTAGTCTTATCAATAATACCAACTGCCGAAAATCGTTTAACTTTTGTAGCTTAGGGTAAAATTCATTCGCTACAATCCTTTAAACCCACAAGATGTTAAAATACCCAGCTACTCATTGGAAAGAAGGTTATTAAAGAAATGTATCAATTGGGTATCTTCTAGCAAAACTCCTCGCAAACCCTTTTTGGATAGAAAAATGTTCTTTGCCAGGTTTAAACTTGATTCAGGTTTTCAAAAGTTTCAAGAAACTCGCGACAGACATTCTAACAGGAAATGATTCAGTACACTGTTCAAAATTTCATGACCATTTTAACACCAAATTAACACCATACATGGTCTATATCGATACAAACCAAAATGGTGTTAAATATGGTTAGTTGGTCCAGTGTAAATTCAAATACTAAAATAGTGTAAATTTAACTTTCACACAGTATTAAAATAAATTTTACCTGGTGTAAATTGAACTCCTTTTCAGTGTTAAATATTATGTGTTCTTGGTCAAATTAAATCATACTACACAGAAAAAAGTAAAGTTCCTTGACGCATTACTAGTATATTACCACTGGTATTATTCCAGAAAATTGAACCTTCAACTCGCTAGAGATAATGTTTATAGTGCGTTCTACCAACTTAAATTACTTTAAGTATTGACAGCTGTTTGAAACAGCCTGTTTCCACCTTTTTAAGGTCTCTTTGGTATCGAACAACTTGTAGTGTCACACCACAGCAAAGGACTACCAGAGCTTATATACTCTTCATGTAAGTCAACAGAGGCGAGATTTAAGAGCATCACGTGATCCTCACCGCCTTTGCCGCGATCGGTACACACTATGCAACTAAGAATGCACGGCAAATTGTGTTAATTGTTTTAACAGAGTGCTTTAGGTTGAAGTAACTCTTATTTTACAAACAACATATTTAGTAAACTGAACAGCGGAATTTAAAAAAAAAATAAAATAACTATCTGGTTTAGTACCGTCAAACTAATCTTTGTTTATATTAACCTTCCCATAGTTGATTTAAATAAATACTTATGGATCAACTAAATTAATATAGTTAAATGAACTATTCCTTTTTTTCTGTGTAGGTGCACTTCTCAAATATTTTTAGATAAACACCGTTTTGGTGTTTGCTGTATTTAACATTTTCAACCATATTTCATGGTTTTTATATTAAAACCACTTGGTGTTGGATTTTGACACCATTTTAAAATTACTCTTTACGCCACAGATATTTTAAACAGTGTACCACCTTTTTATAGTTAGTATTTAAATGAATCGTTAATTATTTTACAACCCGTTCACTTAGTAAAAATGGCTAAACAATCCTTTAAACCCACTAATCAAGTAAGTGTCTCATAGGAACCACCACCTATAGATCTGTTATTTTTCTGTGTATTTTTGAAAATAATAATTTGTTACATTGCCAGAGGGAAAACATTTTGTTGGCTTTAAATGGATTGTGGTTTTATCAATAATTCTGACTGCCAACATTTGTTTAACATTTATAGCTTTAAGATAAATTATAAGGTTGTTCATGTTAGCCCCCCAATAGTTAAAATATATAAGATTGTTTTAAAAACAAATTTAAAGTGAGTTTTATAAAATTTTGTATTTTCTTAATGTACATACCTGTAGACAATAGATTATAAAGGCAGCATGTTTAAAATTTAAGTAAAAAATACTGCAAAATAAATTTAATATATACATATATATGTATATAGATGACTTTAATTAGCTAAATTGTTAATATCTAGAGTATTTTAATTAAATCGGCAGAAATATTCGTGCTTTAGAGAAATGTTACATGTAGTAAAATTTATAAGATAAAAAACATTTTGTTGTGTTTGTTAACTATCTTCTTTATTTTTTTTAATTAAATCGGCAGAAATATTCGTGCTTTAGAGAAATGTTACATGTAGTAAAATTTATAAGATAAAAAACATTTTGTTGTGTTTGTTAACTATCTTCTTTATTTATTATCTAGAAATACCCCAAAAAGCAAATGTAATTACTTAATTTTTTACGATAGAAATGTTAACTTTTATAAATTTAATCTAGTAGATTTCTACATATGGTTCATTATTTTTACTGGAACGTTACATTTGTACGCAGTTATTAATAATTTTATTAAATGAAAAATCAAACTTTCTTATAGGCGTAAAATAAGAAACTTGAGACGTAAAATAAGAAACTTGAGACGTAAAATAAACCATGTTTAAATCATTTTATTTGACGAAATTGCTTTCTTCCAAAACGACGAAATGTACCTCAATGAAAAAGAAATAGAAATTGTTTAAGTTCCTAAATAATGAGCCATATGTATTTTTAATTAAGAAGAAAATATTAATTAATTAAAAATACCAGTAACTAGTAACCGCAGTTCTTTATGGCAATTCAATTCCACCTCAAAGATTTATCACTCTTTTTGAAAAACCCTTTATAAAGGGTATATATATATTCTTGGTGATAAAATGCGTATCTTAACTTTCGATAATTGTGATTTTAGTACAATTATTTATTGCTTATAAATTATTAGATAAAATTTTTTTTTTAAATATAACCAAACATTTATATATTATTTATTATAAAAATAAAATAAATATGTAATATTATTAACACAAACCATTAATTGAATTAATATTTCTTTGTGGGACTAATATTATTTATATTAAATTATTTTAGGGCCATATAAATTTAATTTTATTTTCAAGTATTAAAACAAACAAATTTTTGTTTAATTTAAGCCAAACAGTCAAGCCATGCCTTTTATGCCGTTATAACTGCTATTTTTCTGCCATTCTGTGCCAAAAAGTGGTGGCAGAGAATTAGCAGAGAATGGCAGAGAAATGGCAGAGTTTTCTGCCAAAAAGTAGTGGCAGAGAAAGGCAGATAAATGGCAGAGAACGGCAGAGATTTTTGCATGTAAAGTCACTTTTTAAATTTTCAAATATCAAGTCCATTATTACAACCATGTAGTATTAAGTCCATTTTATTTTTTAATTCTAAAGTAACAATATCAAGCGCAACATTTCACTTTCCAGAAACAAAATTATACTTTCTTTATGTAAGTTAAAAAAATTAGGCAATGATGTTTTCTGGTTCTAAAATTAAACACCCTTACAACCTTAATTTTGCTCTCCTGGACAATTTTAAAAGTGTGACTTAATACAGTTTGGTTCTGGGGTACGGATATATCTACATATTTAGTTTTCATTGGATATTAAGTAATATCGCAAAATTATACTGGGTGTTTTAAAATGCGATGGCATTATTTTATTATAACAGACTCACCGGCAAAAAAAGCCCACCAGAAATTGGCGACAATTTTAATGTTGATTTCCTCGCGAGCTTCTTCAGTTGCATTCAGACACAAATTTGTGACACCTTGTGGGATGTCTTCGCATGTAAAAATAAATAAGTATAAAGGTATGTCGATCGACATACCGTCACCCTAATATAATAAGGTTGTATGTTAAAAAACCGAAAAATTTGAGTTTATGCATACATAAAACTTGAAAATAACTCTATATATATATATATATATATAGAATAGAATATACATTCTATATAATTATTTTTAAGTGGTATGTAAAGCGTAGGCCACATTTAATCCTGTAGAAACATAGACTTAAATTTTTCGTTTTTTTTAACATACAACCTTGTTATATTAGGGTGACGATACGCTGGAACGGATGTCAGTTATTTTAAAATACAACACTTAAAAATGGATATTTTGGGCCACAATTTGTTGCATTAATTGAAGATGGTTGAAGTCAGGGGCGTAGCTACCGCGGTATCAACCGTATCAATGATACGGAGCCCCCGGCTAGGGGGGGGGCCCGATTGGCTTCGACAGGCGTAAGCAAATGACATATTAATAAATAATAATATTATTATTTAATTGCTTATACAATTTATTAAATACAAATTTTCCCGAATACCATCCTGTTCCAACGAGTAAGTGAACTTATACGAATTGTTTCTGCCCGCTCCTTTCCGCTATGCGTTGTCTGCGGCGCAGTCTGCGCATATTGTTCTGTGCTCTGCGCCGCATACTGAGTCTGCTTTGCGTGTTATTATCATGGAAGTGGCTCCCGTCCCGAGACGACTAACGTTATACTGTAAATCCGTTTTCAATCCCCGAGCGTTGTAAAATTAATGTTAAGCTGGATGGCTCAGATGGTAGGGCGGTCGATATTACTAGAAGTTGTCGAACGTTTTTTATTTTATAAATTTCTGTTCCTTTGTTAAAAAGAGTTGGGTTGGGTTGGTTGTTTTTTTAGTTATATCGTAACATAACAATCTTAAAATTATGACGTCGCTCGGGACTGAACTTAAGTCCCGCCTCGGGAAGGGAGCCACAGCGTATTATCATAGGTTATATTAATAGCAAATAAAAAATAATTATTAGCTTTACAATTATTTCAAATGACTTGCCTTTATTTTAAAATGGAAACCTTTTAAAAGATGTTGAAGAACGGTAAATGTCTAAAACCAGACCAAATTTGCCTGTACATTAAAAGCTATGTATACATATATTATTTATTAAATTATAAAAAATTGATAAATGCAAAAAAATTATACCCTAAAAAATTTGGTTTGTTTGCCCAAAATAGATTTTGGGCCTGACACCCAGACATTTTTTTTGCCAGCAGATTTTCCAGTATAAGGGCCCCTACCAGATTTTTGATACGGGGCCCCCTCGAGGCTAGCTACGCCACTGGTTGAAGTCAACGTAATATACCTATCTAATATGAACACTTTATCCAAAGCGTTGGCTTGAAAGCAGTGTAACTTCTTTAATAAGAAAGATAATAAGGTAAATAAAAAAATAAAATGTTCAGAAAAAATACATTATTCCAATTGACATCCGCTGTTATTGCTGATGCACCCCACAGGGTTGGGAAATAAATTCTTCTTACTTTTGTACCCTGTATATCCTTAAAATATCAAAATAAAATTTCCATCATAGCATCGTAACTAAATTTTAAAAAATCATCAGTCAGTTTTTTGCCGGTGAGTGTACATTAAAAAAAGAATTGATCTTGTATAAGAAATCAAATTGTATTTAATTTCTTTTTTTGATTTCCAAGGCAAAATCAGTTAAAAACAAAAATAATACTTGTCAAAATAAAATAAAAAATAATCTACAAGTGGTTTCTATAGCAACAGTTTACCCTATTTTACCCGGCAAACAGGTATCAAATAATGGGCAATGTTTGCAGTATTTAGTTGAGCAACATAACCTTCCAATAATTGGCCAATCTTTAAGCAATTTGTTTAAATGTCAATATTTGTATAACCAAATTATGTTTTTTATGTCAAATTACAACACTACCTAACACTTCTTAATTATACAACAATTATATTTATTGATAGAATTTTATAGATTTGTTATTAACAAGATTTTGTTTTTTTGTCCATGGCTGATAGACTCGCGCCTATTTGAATTTTCAAAATTTTAATTTAATTTTTGACAACATTACTGATG